AGTGCAGATCAGTAGATACCCAACCGGGCTGGCCCACCTCTGCTACCGCAACTGACGCTGCAGCTGCACGCCGCGATGCCGAGGACCCGCCATGGAGCTGGCTCTGCTGTATTCCCCGCAGCTACGCGATGCCACGGCCCCACCTCCCTGCCTGCACCGTGAAGATGATCCCCAGCTAAAAAGCCTGCGGGGAGTATCGCTTAACAGCTATTTACGACGCACCCAAAACGCTCAGCTAGAAGACGGCGTTACAGGCTGGGTCTCAAACCGAGGAGGTATGAATTCGTTTTTAGAAAGCCAACAGATGATGCAGGCACGTGGATAGCTGAACCTGCTTGGCTGCAGCGGCCGTGCCGCGTCCACCGTTCGCTCATGCAGGCTGCGAGCACAGCGGAAACCCGTGGGGAATCTCGTCACGTCCTCCTGGCCGCCGCTCTCATTTCATTTCCACGGCTTTTTCTTTTTTTTTTTTTCCCCCTCTCAGTTCTACCATTACATTTATTGTTTCTATACATTATCTGAAGCAGCCCGGACTTTTTTTCATTAAAAGAAATGTTCCCAACTCCTTCGTGCCCCCAGGTGAACCCTGGAAATGACAGGTTCATATATTCTTGGTATGTGACATCAAGTCACTGAAATTTACTGGTCTGATACTGGGTATTTCTGTCACGGAGGAGTCTCCTGTAGCATCATCAGGATTTGACTGTGCATCTGCACACGCAAATTTATCCACCCACCAATATTTCACCCAGAAAAGCCCAAGGGATCTGCGTGCTCGTTACACGCTGACCCATCTCGGAGACGCAAAGCCCCGGGGTAAACCCTGCGGAGAGATGGGGGATGCTACAGGCTTTATGAAAACAAAAACCCAGAAAGCAGAACCATTTATTTCCACCTCCTCTCCTCACGGCAGCAATATTTTTGAATATTGGGCTGCTGGTAAGGGAGAGGGGACCAGGCCCAGCGCTGGGGCCGGAGGTAGGTATCTCGAGCAGGCAGCTGCGGCCCAGGGAGCGCGGCCGCCTTCGGGAGGAAAACAAAATCTGCCTTACGCTGTTCAGCCGTCTGCGATGCGTGTGAATTTTTCCCCTGGGTAAGGCAACCTGGCCGGCTTGCCGAGGCACCCACGGCCTGCGTGC